CCCCCCTCCCCCCCCTCTCCGCCGTTGTGCAGTCGTGCGATACGGGAGCGTCCGGGGCGACGGGGCAGGCGTTCACGGCGGCGTACTGCAGGCCGGGGAGGCAGGCCTTCAAGCTCAAGAGTGGCAAGGAGAAATTCGAGGTATGTATGTAGTACGCGCGCGAATGCCCTTCCTTTCCGTATTTCGGGCAAGGCGAGAAAAAGACGGTGTTTTGCTGTGGTTGTTTCTTCCGTTGGCGTTGTGTATCTTCGAACGAAAGCTGAATGTTTGTACAGGTCGCGGGAAAAGAATGAAAATGTATGGAATGTGTGCGGGTGAGCTGCGTGGTAGTTTTGGTTTGATATGATGATGATCCTTAAGCGTCTTCGTCAGTTGTTCATGAGCGTTAGTTGTTGGCATGCTGTCGCTTCTAAGCCGCAAAGGAAGCGAGCGGAACGTAGCGGCGGGTAATAACCGGGAGAGGAGGATTATTTGGGAAATATGACGTCGTGACCGTAGAACGAACTCGCGCGGCAAACACGCCAACAGGCTTGAAACCTTCCAAGTATAATACCTCGTATCGAAACCTTGTACAGTAGATGGCCCGATATAGTGCCAAGTAGAGGCAAGAGGAATCATATTACACTGTTCAGGGCAGTTCCACCATGGTTCGATATTTCGGGTTCATGTACGTACATGTTGAGAAAGTTACAGGAAATCTTCATTCCGCTATATCGGCAGTCCCACTGTTCAAGGTGCCACTTTATGGGGCCACCTGCTGTATGCACACATGGTCGTGGTTTTTCTATCACACGAGCCCCCCCTTGCTTTGTCTAACCCAGTCTCGAAACCCTTGTTATTGGTCTTTTACTTTTTTTTACCGCAATTTTTTTTCGCGGAAAACACGCGGTGGCTGGTCAGCTCGTGTACCGCACCAAGATAAAGGGCAACAGGAAGAAGACACCCCCTGCCTCGACAAATGCCTCCTCCGGCAAAAGTAACGTCAACGCCGGCCCAGGCAAGAGCAGCAAGGAACGCGGCCGGGCCAAGAAGACCGGGAGGGACAAGCAGCAGCAGCAGCAGCAGCAGCGGCGGCAGAAGGTAAAAACCTTCGGAAATATTGTGGACCGAGCAGCAAGTGGTCCCTGGTGCCAAGGTGTTTTTGATCTGCGACAACAGATTTAATTTTCCGTGTACGTCGGCTGACGAATGCTAGATGATAAAATACAAAATTAGTCGTCTGAGAGAGAAGCACGGCAGATCAATCGTGATAGACTTTCCATGCCGAGGACAGAATATTCAAACGACAGCTACTGTTGAACATTGAAAGTGCCACAGAAAAGGCAGTTCTTTTTTTTTTTTTTTGCGCGGTTTTGGGGAGGAAGCAGGAAAAGAAAGCACGCGCGTTTGTTTTTGTTCATGTTTGGTTTTGGGGGGCCTTTGGGAAGACATACACGTACGGAAGACGAATCAATGTCGTGTTGGGCGGTGTCTTATCTGCTGTCATGTCGTACGGCAGCAGTCGGACGATGACGACGCCGACGATGACGAGCCCTGCAACGTCGGCGAAGCGAGGAAAGGCAAGAAGGCCGCCCCCGCTGCCCCCAGGAAGGCGACCACGCAGAGAAAAGCCGGCGTGGGAAAGGAACCGTCCAAGTCGTCGTCGTCGTCGTCCTCTGCAGCCATGGTCACACCCCAGAAGGTGGCGCGATATTTTTTTGTTTTTTCGTAACATTCTTGATTCTCACGCTCCAAAATTGTTTTTTTCCTGACGTTTTATTTTTATTTTTCTGAACATGACCCAACGAATCGATCTCTATATTAGAAAAGAGTCTACGATAGATTAGTAACGAATCCATAGTATCAGCGGAGGCTACCTGTATTTCCACGATTTCCCGAGCAGCACACAGCGATATCTCCCCTGAAACACTCCATTTTTTTTTATTTCTCAACATTCTTTATTTCTCTCGCTCCAAATTTAGAGTTTACCGAGTCATCGTGCGGGAGGGTTGACCAATCAGCTGACTCTGATTATCGACTTGCGGCCGGGTCGTTTCTCCGTGAGGTCGTTCGCTTTTTGACACACGAAACCGTTCGCGCGGGGCGGGGAAGGGAGGCACGTGGGACGCTGCCGCGCCATGGTGGCACCACATTGGGGCTACGTGTGTTGAAACCTTGTTCATGCACCGCTACCGAACGTAAGGATACCTTGCAAAAGAACCCATCTTTTTTTGTTCCAAGGGATTGCTTGGGAACTCTTCTTTGGGCGGGCACAGCGATGCAAGACGATGGCAAATGTTTATGCCGTTGGATACACGGTTTCTTATTTTTCGGCGGCAACGGTGTTTGACGGTTGACGGTAAAACCCAAGAAACCGACGGAATTTTTGACGGTATTCCGGGACCGTCCACCATGATTTGCGGTAATATGTCGTGGGTATGATCGCCGAACAAGCCCCTGGTTTTCTTCACGGCGTCAAAGCAAAGGGTGCATGCACTGCTGCATGTTCCCTGAACATGTGTTGTCTCCCTTAACTCTCTTGAGACAGTTCTTCCCGGCCCCGTGTCGTCGTTCACTCTGCTCATGCCGTCATAACACTCGTTGAGATGCGTCGGCCCGTAAACTGCCAGCTATTGCGTTGTCCACATATGCATGCTACATGTCATGCCCTTTTCTGGCCGTTGTAGGATTATCCACTTCCTACGCTGCAGTCGATATTTTGTTGAGGCCATCGGCCAAAAAGAAAAAACAAGTCCGCAATATCAATACCTTTCTTTTTGTGTTGAACCTACACGCCTTTCTTTTTCTCATGTCGTGCTTGTGTTTTTTTACATGTCAGAGGAAGGGCACCGGACACAGGGGAGGGGGGACGCCCGGAATAGCCTTGGACGTGTCTCCGGGGGTGATCAGCGTTCCCAGCAGCGGGGGCGGCAGTTACGACGACGACGAGGATGAAGAGGTGAATGGATGATGTCGTGGTTGTTTCTGCTGCTGTTGCTGCTGTCACAAGTTTGTGGTATTTTTTGGTGGTTCTTGTTGTGTTGCTGCTGTTACCACGTTGTGGTTGTACCTTTTGGTGTTCTTTTTGTGGCTGTTGCCGATGATGTTACCACGTTGCGGTTGCACTTGTTGGCATTCTTGCTATGGGTGTTGCTGATGCTGTTGCTGTTTCCGGTGTTTGTGGTGGTCCTCGTGCTTGGTATTGGCTGTTGATGTTAGCAGTGTCGCGGGAAAGTCGTGGTCGGGATAGTGACTGTGCCGCATTTCCCGTTGTCGTTCATCTTCCTGCGTGTGCACACCCCCACCTCCTCGGTGTGAGCAATCGCCCCCCCCACCCACCCACCCCCCCTCACACCTTGGGCGGTAGGATAAATAATCTAAGGAAGACATTTTTGGGGCAGGTTTGGCAAAAGTAGGAAGAAACGATTGGCCATCGATGATCGGTCCTGTGGGGACAATGCTCCGTCCTATCGAGGACCCGCTCTAACCGCTAAGGCATGCAAGACATACGCGTGCGCCCCCCCCCCCCCCCCCCCCCCCCCCCCCCCCCCCCCCCCCCCCCCC